GGCTCGTGGTGTTACCCCATCCAGAGCGGTTACCAGACTCGAGAATACAGCATCCAAGAATGCAGGAGCTGATGCTCACGACGGCATGGCGTGGAGGGGAGGGAGGGAGGAGCTTGTTGAGGGAATCGTCAAGTTTCTCCGAAGGATCTCTTGTTTCTGAAGGGTCGGTTCTCTCAGAGGAGTCTAGCTTTTCGGAAGAATTCAGAAGCTGATGCTCACGAAGGCATGAAGTGGAGGGGAGGGAGGAATGGGCCTGTTGAGGGAGTCAGCCTCAAGCTGCTCTGAAGGATTCTTAGTCGACTCAAAAGACATGGAGTGGAGGGGAGGGAGGGAGGGACCTGTTTCGGGAATCGTCAAGTTTCTCAGAAGGATCTGTTGTTTCTGAAGGGTCGGTCCTCTCAGAGGAGACTTGCTTCCCAGAGGAGAGGAGGAGTGATGCGTTTGATTGGTTGGGTGGGAGCAAGCAGGCGAGTGGAGGACACTGCTGTTAAGGTTGGTGGGGTAGTGAAACAATAGAACACACTTTTTTACTTCGCAGAAAAAAGGAAAGGGGGAATAGAGAAGCTGGAAAGTGTCCAGGCGAATCAAGTTCGCCTGTACCAGTTCTTTTTATTATTGAAGTCTTCAAGTCAAGGTCAAAAGATTCTAGTGAATCCAGATCATGCAAATGCATCTGTTTATGTTCATCGACTTTTTGCACTCTTCTGCGCCTCACACACATTGGGCTGGATATTTGTAGATGGCTGGCGTAGATGCTGAATGTCAACAACCAGCAATGAGCCTAAATGGCAGTGAATTTTTATCAAGGAATTTCATGGCATTCAATGGACAAGACACGAGAGTACAGATCACTTCACGCGGAAGCGGTGAGTTATGAAGTGCCTGAGCCCCGTCATATCATCCATACTGACAAACTTGCCAACATTCTGCCACCCGTCGAATAATAAGAAAGCCGGCTCGCGGATAAAGTACTCCGCGCTATTCTTAGGGTTCTCGTCAATATCCAGGTTGAAGAAGGCTAGATGCGTGTGCTCCTCTGCAAGGCTTTCGAACATAGAAAGCAGCTTCACGCATGCGACGTCCGATTTACTAGAGAAGAAGACCACCGCTGGAAGCTTACTTTCGTAAACGAGACCAAAATTCGAATCCGTCAACTTTGTGACCATTGTTGCCGAGGAATATGCTTACGGGGTATGGAAGTGAATGAAGCTACTAAACGAGTGAAGATTCAAAACAAATTGAAGCTACTTGGTCTTGGGAGGCGGTTGAGAATGATATAAGACGGGCTCCGCGCAGAGCGGAAAAAACGCTTTGATACCCATTGGGTCAAAACGGGGGTTACATATCTGAGGCACAGCGGATGCGCTTCGACCCTCCGTGTAAGCCTGAAGGCGATACAGCGGAGTTGCAGCGGGAAGGGACGCAGCGAGAGAGCTAAGAACCACGCCGAACCTGGGAACGTTCGAAGTGGTTAAAACCGACGCCAAAGCTTGTTAAATTCCCAAGGTGACTGTTTCGAAAGTATCGTCGCCTCAAGAGTCGATGCGGAAACGAAAAGCAGAGGCGAAAACACCTGCAAGGGAGCAGTTTCTGCTACGAAATGGCGGGCCAAGCAGAACAGAGGGGCTCGCAAAAGGATTCGTGCAGTCGCACACCCGCTAGATTTTGTGCGAGGTACGGGAGAAGCAGGCTCGGCAGGGGGCAAGGGAGTGAGGCAGGGAGGGCCAGTTCACGCCATTTTTTGTTGCGAACTCCTGTAACCCGGGTTAAATCGCCAAGAAACTACTGTCTCTGTTGTTGGTGTCACGAAACGCGAGGCAGGGGCTTTGTTGTGACGGTGTGCCGTCAAGAATCGTGCAACACGACCCTGCCAACATAACATTTTATGGCACGTTGGTTTGGACCTCAAACGTGTGTCGTGTGAACGAAGTTTTACGACGTACCTACGTGCGAGGTTCGACGGTGTGTCGTTTCGTGGGAGCTCACGGTCGCGCTGTTGATTCGTGCAATTCGGCGACCTGTCTTCGCTAGCCATCAAAGTGCGTCATAAAGCGATGTGAGCATCACAAACAGCGAGGCACCAATTTCACAAATTTGTCATGCGCGGCGCGACATGTCGTGCGCTCGCTCGTCCGCCAGCAGCAAATTTCGTCAGCGAAATACAGTAGATGAAATCTCAACTCCCTTCTCCAACGCCGCGTCGCCTGCCCATCCACCCTAGCAACTATTTCACCGCAGTTTGGTGGTGATACGTGATGTGAGGCAGTGTGAGTGGACATGTTTTCCCAAGGTAGTCTAGTATAGTGTCATTCAAGTTTGTCACGACGGCCCGTCGCTTCCTCGCTTCCGCGAGGCGGTGGAGCAGGGCAAACGAGGCAGCGAAGGAACGAGGGACCGACAGGAGCGATAGGAGAGAGAGGAGCCACTAGAGAGACAGGGCGACAGTAGCGATGGGAGCGAGGGGAGTGGGAGCGAGTAAGAAAGCGACGGGCGGCGCGAGCGAAACGGGGAGCACCGGGGGTGCGAGGGGATTGCCGGCGAGGGAGCGACGGCGGCGAGAACAACAAGAGGGAGCGGCAGGAGCGATGGGAGAAAGCATTGAGAGAGCGGAAAGCGGGAAACAAAGGAGATTGACGTGAGGTGGGTAAAACGTAGCTTGACAGTTTGGTGAGAGATGGCCAGCACACAACAAATTCCTGCCCGTGGCGTTCGTTGGACAGCGTGTCAGCGTGTTAGTTTGACGTAGTTTGCACCTGAGTGTGTGATCTTGCGGCCGATTCGGGTGGCGGGTTTTGGGTTTTGGACATAGTTATTTTCAGCTCCTCTTCGACCGCTTATGACAGCATCGTCAGTCCAGCGCGAAATTCCACTCCGAGACTCCCTGTAAGAATAACAGAGCCTTGCGCTTTGGAATACAATCTTTGATCCAATCAAATAGATTTTTCAACAGTGATCGAGAGTGTTCTTTTTCTGCTAGGGGAGCGGACTACGAAAGCGAAGCTCGACATTCTCCCTCCCCCCTTCAGCCAGCCATTGATACACAAAATTGTTGGGATTATAATGAACATTTGGGAGCTTCTTCTGAAAAACGCTATGATGGACGCTGAAGACGATATGAACGTCATAAATAGCAGATACCTGCACCTAGACTCCAGCGCACATCCTGTTAATGATTTTTCCGATGTCATCGTGCTTTCTGCTGCTTGAATGCCGATGATTCATTAGGGGCGAACATAGGCAGTCGCTGGGCATGACTTATTCAAGGCGCCTTGAATGTGTGACGTCCGACGTCAGAGTCCGATGGCAAACACAGCAGGTAACTGAAAACGCATCCTTTTATTTCACAAAACTGACATGCAACTAGCATGATAAGAGCACGGGATTCCATACACGATTTTACAAAATTGACATGCAGCGAGCATGTTAGACCACGCGATGTTTTCACACGGCGAGAGAGATTCTCTCTACGAATTGTTCAAGGGCATTCGGACGTGTGATGCCAACCATCTCGCCCACTTTCTGCCCCTCTTTGAACACCAAAAAAGCCGGCAAGCTGAAGATCCCGCACTCCTGGTTCGTCTGCGGGTTCGCGTCGCTATCCAGCTTATAGAAGGTGAACTTCTCCGAGTTCTTCTCCGCGATGTTTTCATAAATCTGGAGCATCTTTCTGCAAGGGCTCGACCATGCCGCGGAGATGCAGACCAGGGCGGAACGCTCGCTTTCCAGAACTTGAGACTTGAATTCCGAACCCGTCAACGTTTGAGCCATCGTCAGAAAACAGGCCGCGGATGGAGATGGAAAAAAGCGAAGCTCAACAATCCGCTGATGGGTATGGAAAGAGATGAAGCTGGGAAGAGATGAAGCTTACTACTTGGTTGGTAAACTCAAAGTGGGCCGCAAATGAATAAATGCTGGAGGTTTCTGGTAAGAATGAAACTCCACCTTTGGAAAGTGGAATAAGTAGTCGCAGAAACGAGAGCTGAGAGCGGATAAGCAGGACTCCTGCTTGAGTGGGAACGAGACGAGACGAGAGGTAGAGTGGAGCCCGTTGGTTCACGACAAAACGCCGGCGGCACGTCAGCGAGTCGCCACGACTGAGGCTTGAAAGTTTTTGAAAGGTAGGATGTTTGACATTGCGGTTTATTTCTGGGAAGCGCTGCCGTCTGTTTGTTAGGTTGGCTGGCGTTCTGCCTTCTCTATCATATCTATCACGATGTCCCTTTTTTTTTTCGCGCTGGTGTACTGTATTCCCAACAGGTGATCTGTAGACACACCACACTGCTTCGAAGTTGTTGAGGAACTGGACCACCCCTTGAACTTTCTTGGCTGTCAAGAAACCATGGATCCGTCAAGAACACCTCAGCAGCTGTAATCGCGATTCGCAATGGAATCGCAACAACTGCCACGCTGGACAGCATGGGAGGAATGTCAAGGGTTGGTTGGCAGACGTGGGTGGATTACGGGACTTGCTCTTGACTGGCGCATGTGCGCATGTATAAAAAAATCTAGAGCCAGCGACATGGAGGAACCGCTGCCGCGAATTTTATATCGAATGGATTTCGACATCTTGACATCCAATCAAATGGCAGCAAAACTTGACCAGAGCTGGATATAACTATTCTGTACAGTGAAACCTTTTCAGTATTCTTGGTTTAAACAAGAGTGCCGTAAAATGGATAACACCACAATTTGCCTTTTAAAAGAAGCTCTTAGCTACCAGAAAGCCCTGGTGTGGTGTGTGCATGCCTTCATCATTAGACCATAAAATCAATTATTTATGACCCACAAAATACAATTATGTTGGTAACAAACAGCAGCTCATATTTAGTTACTTGATTTCGTCCATTGGGTGTGTGCTTATCCACTACCCAACCTGCACCTTTAATCTCTACAACCACCCACCTTATTCTAGCTAAATCAATGGAAACTGTTTTCTAGTTCGAAGTGCGATTCACAAGAACTGACGGTTTCGTGTACCCATCTAATTGTACCCGTTACAATCAGAAATTCAACCGTCGCGGCAGCCACCTTCTCTCGGTTCCGCTCCCCCCTTTCCGCAGCCCTCCCCCAGGAGCTTTTCCTGCGCATGCCCCCTCCGTGGCAGCGCCATTCGCGCTAAGCCTCCGCTGCCGCGACAGCGCGCGCTCCTCCTCCACTTCCGCAAACTCGCGGCATATCTCCTCCATTACGCGCTCCAACACCGCGCATTCCAGCGCAAACACCACCTGCGGAACCTCCGCAGCTGCCACTTCCTCGGCGGACCAGCGCTCGGTTCCGCGCACCATGTCCCTCCTCGCCGCGTCATCGAGAATGTCGTAAACGTCATCGGACGGCGCAACCGGCCAGCTGTGCACCTCCGCCCACACGCGCTGCAGCAGCTGGCGGCCGATGGGGCGCGGGCGGAGAAGCGCGGGCTTGCGCGAGGCGGAACAGCACGAGGCGAAAAAAGACGCGCCGTTATCCAACTCCCACAGGCCGAAGTTACTATCCCCACTACCTGTATTCGTAGTATCGGCGAATAGCTGCGACGGGCGACCCGAGCAGCGATTATTCGCGTCTCGCTTAATCTCATCTTGCGCTTGCAGCTCTTCCAGATACGGCGCGAGCGTGCGGCCGAGCGCTTCGTTGACCGCGTCGAATAGCAGCATGCGCTGGCGGCGCTCCTCCGACATGTTCTGCGCGCCGACGGCGAAGCTGGGGAGCGGAAAGAGCGACGGAGACGGCGGGCGCGAGACCCCCGCGGCAACTGCACCAGCAGTAGCGCCTGCGGCGGCGGCGGTAGAAACAACTGGGCTTGTTAAACCTATCAAGGAAGGGCTTGTACTCGATAATGACGACGCTGATAACGAGGACGGAAAGTGTTGGGAGAGCTGTCCCGTAATCTCAAACTCCAGCTGCTCGAAAACCACCGGGTTTATCGGGAGGTTGCGCGAGAAGATGGGCGGTAAAGACGGTCCGCCAAATCCGGAGATGAGGAGCACGTGGCGCACGTACTCGAGATCCTGCTCCATGCCTGCCACGTCACCGACGATGTCTTGTGGCGACAGGCGTAGGAGGTCCACGGCGACGTCGCCATGTTGGCTGGGCGACGCGAGCGACGCGTGCGACGGCTGACGCAGTGTGACGGTCGCGTCTGGGTAGCACTCTGCGACAGAGTTGACGGAACGATCTGATTGTGAAGGGGAAGCGAAGAGAAGAAAGAGAAAACGGTGAGGCGACGATTTGTGCTGAGCACAGGGAAGAGAGTAAATTGGGAATCACGAATTGCATGTTAGAAGAACGCAGCATGATTTTCTGAACATGCAAGAACAGTCGCAACATGACTCATATCAGGAACCTGCAAGAACAGTCGTCACTCACCGGAGAAAAATTCGCCACTGTTGCCTTCGGAATCGCTCTCGTCGCTTCGTCGCATGCCCACATCGAGTACCGAGACCGGGCTGCCCTCCTCTCGTCGCACGCCCATGTGCGACAGCTGCGACATGTCCTTCGCCGGCGCATGATGGCCTGCGCCTGAGTCAAATTCATCGCCATGATGCGTCGGCAGCGGTCGCTCACCAGAGGAGGCTAGAGCAGACTGAGGGCACGGAATGGCAACGCGGAAAATAAAATACGATAAAGTACGTTGGTGAAAGGAGTGACGGGCAGGGAACAAAAATTGATGTGAACCCAAAAAAAACATGACACATATAATTTGATACATAAACCTCATCCTGCTCACCTTGGACAATAATCTCGCATCCGAATCCCCACGACCAGCACCATAACCAACTACGGGTCTCTCCGCCTTCTTCGCTCGCCGCTCCCTCTCCGCGTCATCCGCATCACGGCTCTTAAATCGATTCTCCTGTCGGCCGCTGTCTTGCCGCGGCGAGCGGGGACCACCCCCGCCCCCAGCGTTTCCGCAAGCGGCACTCCCGCTCCCGCCTACAGCTGCGCCACACGAGTTCCTTGCTACCACTCCGCCGCGCCCGCCCTTCGCGTCCCCCCGCGTCGCATGCTCGCGCGTGTGTTCGCCACGGTGACGAGCATTGCTAGTGCTCAAATCAGCCGCCTCAGCACCCTTAACCCTTCCGCCACCGCCGCCGCCGCTGCCGCAGCCACCGCCGCAGCCGCCGCCGCTCACGCCAGCGCCAGCCTTGCTCAGGGAAGAGGGGCCACGATGGCTAGTCGCGTTCTGGACGAGAGGCTGCCTCTTCGCTCCGGTAACCGCCAAGCGCGGCGATCGAGGCGACCGTGGCTCGGAGCTAATCACCGACCATCGCGGCGAGACTGGCGGGGAGCTAGCAGGAGTTCCTTTGCCGTCCAGCTGCCGGCTTAAGCGAAGCGCGAGATTTTCCGAGACGTCGGAGCGGCGCCGGCCGGTTGCAGCACGGGGGGATGCGGGTGGGGAAGCGTGCGGGGAGGCGCAGGCGGAAGGGGAGGGGGAAGAGAACTTGGAGTGGTTGGTTGCGGGACGTCTCTCCAGGCTCATTCTCTCGGATGCTGGCCGCGGCTTTTCGTGCCCGCTGGTAACATCGCCGCCGCTGCGCCCTTTCGCGAGGGTCTTCGCGAGGGAGGATTTCGTCGGGGCGAAAAGTCGACTAGAGCTAGAGGTCGCTGGTTTCTCGCGTTTCGCATCTTTCTTTAATTCCACTTGAAACAAATCAAGCTCAAACAGGTCTGTACTGTCATCCTCTTCCGCGTGAGCTTGACGGATTGCCATGTCTGGGTTACGCAGGCCCCAAGACAGGCGGGAGGAAGAGAGGCAAAAGTGATAGCAGATCACACTAGCTGTATTGATATCACTTGCTCTGACTGCTTCGACGGGAGTGAGAAACAGTCAGATGATTTGGGACACGTTTCTGACTTAATCTCTCCCCGTTGATTTGTGTATTCGATGTTGACCAGCCTTCTCTAGGAACTTGCAGCTAGAATGATGTTCTTGGACAACGTCCGAATGGAAAAGTGCGAGAGAGCATGCGTGTAAAGGGCGATGACAATGACTGGATGTGGTTTCGTAAGGTCTACTGCTGATGATGTCCTGTCGACGCGGAGCCTTGGGTTGGTAAGGTAAACGAGAAGCCCACAGAACGAGAAGCAGAGGGGGCCGAAATGGGCGCACCTTGAAAGTCAATTGCATTGGAGGGACATGCGACGCGACGCGACACCAAGAGGAGTTGAGTGCGAGGGAGCTGTAGTTGGGGTGGAGGGATTTGGAGATTGTGCATGCAGTTTGGCTGCCGCCGGACCGCGGATCAAGTCCCCGTGGACATGTCCCCCCCAAGTACAAGCCCGCTGCCTTGACAGGTCGCCACGCCAAATGGACCGTCAAACACGGATGAACGAGTCATGAGCGGACGTGGCGTAAATTTGGGGGGAACCAAAAGCCCGCCACCATCCTCAAGAACCGAAATGGGACCGCCTCACGAAGGTGGGGGGGGCCTTTAGCGATAAGAGACATGTCAGTCAACTTCTCGCCACCCTGCAAATCATTTTGCGAAAATGGGTTACGACGTCATACTGAACATTCGCAATTGCGAGGCTGGCTTGTTGCGCGTGAACCGTGCTCGCTTGAGGAAATTCATTGGCGGCAGATTTGGAGCGGGCAGCTTCGACCAATCCCAAGGTTGAGATCGCAAGGCGTGCAGGAGTGGAAACTGAAGTCCGCCCATCAACTAATAAAGAGGATGTGACCATGGATATAAAGGAGAATAGCAATCTCAAATATAGCCAGATTTAAAATATGGGGGTTTCCTCGCAAGGGGGAATGAATGTAAAAAGGAGCGGTGTGGTGCACAGCAGACTCACTTCTTCATGCTAGTTTCACTTTCAGCAACGCTGAATATTATGGCAGAGACATTTGAAAGGTAAGCCCTGATTGGGATATTATGATTTGTAACTCTCACTTTCTGAACATGTCATGTCACGGCCCGGCCGGAATGTTATCATTTCTCGATACACTCTGAACGCAATCTATCCACTAACAACTTCCTCGCCTCACCTTCCACCGACACCACCGACCTACCATCCTCTTCCCCATCCCCGCCGTTCCCCACTCCTCCATCCCCCACATGCCTCGCCATACCCTGGTAAATACAGTGCAACTCCCGAATGTGCCTATCGTATATTTGCGTGCCGGCGCCTCTCTTCCTAAGTTGCCTCCACCGTTGCCTGTCCCATGCGTATCGCCAGACGTGTGTCTGTGGCTGCACTCCCCCACACCCTGGGAGTTCACCTGGTACCAGGTGGGTGGAGGGAAGGGGAAAGAGGTACAAGGTCTAGGAAGGGGAGAGAAGGAGCTGCCTCCAAACTGCTGCCTGTCCCGTGCGTAGCGCCAGATGTGTGTCTGCGGCTGCATCCCCTCACACCCTGCCATCTTGCCTGACAGAGAGGAAGGGGGGGGGAGAAGGGGCGTATGCAGGTAAGAGGAGGAGGAGAAAGAATCGCCTCCACCGCTGCCTGTCCCGTGCATATCGCCAGATGTGTGTCTGCGGCTGCAACCCCTCACACCCGGCCAGCTCATCTGATGCCTTGGAGGGAGATGGAGAGAGGGAGAAGGCAGATGAAGAGGGCGCGCGCGCACACACACAGACGCGCGCACACACACACAGACGCGCGCACACACGCGCGCGCGCGCGCGCGCACACACACACACGCACGCACGCACGCACGCACGCACGCACGCACGCACGCCTGGTGGCAAGGAGTGGCAGATGGTTTCTCGCTGGTAGTGCGCGGCCGTCTGAACAAAGGAGAGGTTGAGCTTGGAAGTGGGGTCGACAGGAGGTGGCAGAGTGCTAAAATGGCAGGCAGCAGCAGCAGTATCGGCGGCGGCGGCGGTGGCGGCGGCAGCAGCAGCAGCAGCAGCAGCGGCAGATGGTTTCTTTCTGGTAGTGCGCAGCCGTCTGAACAAAGGAGAGGTTGAGCTTGGAGGTGGAGTCAACCGGCGAACCCCCAAGGTCCTTGAAGAGGTTGGTGTAGGGCAGATTGCTAGGGAATGGCAGAGTGCTACAGTGGCCGGCAGCAGCAGCGCTTTACCTGATGGGAGGGAGTGGCAGATGGTCTCTCGCTGGTAGTGAGCGGCCGTCTGCACAAAGGAGAGGTTGAGCTTGGAGGTGGGGTCGACAGGAGGAGTCAAGTGCCACTGTGGCAGCAGCAGCACCACCACTTTCCCTGGTTGCAGGGAGTGCTACGGTGGCAGCAGCCGCACCACTTCACCTGGTGGCAGGGAGTAGCAGCAGCACTGCTTTACCTGGTGGGAGGGAGTGGCAGATGGTCTCCTTCTGGTAGTGCGCGGCCGTTTGCACAAAGGAGAGGTTGAGCTTGGAGCCTGGGTCAACCGGCGAGCCCCCGAGGTCTTTGAAGAGGTTGGTGTAGGGCAGGTGCACACCCACTCGTGGGATGGGCGTGTGGTCGCTCCACTCCATTGCGAAGTCCATCTGAAGGGCAAGGGGGGAGGGATGGATGGCGGCCAGTCCGGTCGGCAAGCAAACCCCCCATGTCCTCAAAGAGGCTGGTGTGTGTCCGGCAGATGGAGAGGTTGAGCTTGGAGCCGGGGTCAACCAGTGAGATATTGAAATCACTTTTGAGAATTCTCAAAGGTGATTTCAAGATGGGGAGGTTGAGCTTGGAGCCGGGGTCAACCGGTGAGATATTGAAATCACTTTTGAGAATTCTCAAAGGTGATTTCAAGATGGGGAGGTTGAGCTTGGAGCCTGGGTCAACCGGTGAGATATTGAAATCACTTTTGAGAATTCTCAAAGGTGATTTCAAGATGGGGAGGTTGAGCTTGGAGCCGGGGTCAACCGGTGAGATATTGAAATCACTTTTGAGAATTCTCAAAGGTGATTTCAAGATGGGGAGGTTGAGCTTGGAGCCGGGGTCAACCGGTGAGCCCCCCAGGTCGTTGAAGAGGTCGGTGTGTGTAGGCCAGACGCACGCCCACTCGTGGGATGGGCGTGTGGTCGCTCCACTCCATTGCGAAGTCCATCTGAAGGGCAAGGGGGGAGGGATGGATGGCGGTCAGTCCGGTCAGCAAGCAAACCCCCCATGTCCTCAAAGAGGCTGGTGTGTGTCCGGCAGATGGGGAGGTTGAGCTTGGAGCCGGGGTCAACCGGTGAGCCCCCGAGGTCGTTGAAGAGGTCGGTGTGTGTAGGGCAGATTGCTAGGGGTCTGCACAAAGGAGAGGTTGAGCTTTGAGCCGGGGTCAACCAGTGAGATATTGAAATCACTTTTGAGAATTCTCAGAAGTGATTTCAAGATGGGGAGGTTGAGCTTTGAGCCGGGGTCAACCAGTGAGCCCCCCAGGTCGTTGAAGAGGTCGGTGTGTGTAGGGCAGATGCACGCCCACTCGTGGGATGGGCGTGTGGTCCGTCCACTACTTTGTAAATTCCATATGAATGGGGGATGGCATGGCAGGGAAAGGGGGAAGAGAATGCGGAGCGAAAGGGAGCTGGTGTGTAGGGCAGCAAGAGAGCCCCCCAACTGGGCTGCTCTTAGGGCGTTTTTGAGTTGTTTTTCTAGGGCCTTTTTTAGGCCTGGTACCAAAAAAATCCAGGAGTGGGGCTGGGGGTTTACTCTAGCCTACGATTGTCCACACGCGGTATGGCATGTGAGAGGTCCTATGGGACATCTCAAAAGTGGGTATGTGTGCAGCGGTCCTTGTCTGATCAAGTTTGCTGAAACACAGAAAAAACTGTATGTGTCAGAACAAAGATAAAGAACGAATCTGATCAGGTCTCAATGCATTTATGACCGGTTCTGTCTCTCACCTTATCCTTCTCATGGTTCCATAGGTAGTTGCCCATCACAGTGTGGGCAATCTGGTCCCTGCACACCGCACAGCACCCCACGGTACCACACCACATCGCACAGCACGGCACGGCACCAAGCAACACCACACCACAACACGGACGGGGGGGTTGGGTGGGGTTGGGGGGGGGGGGGGTAGCAGTTATGAGGGGTAGGTAGGAAGAGGGTGGTAAGATTTTCCGGATGTAGTGCGATGTAGTGCGATGGAGGGTGGTGAAAATACTGAATTGGGTAGTGGGGAGGTGTCTTTCACATTCTGTTCACCACTCACCCTCACACTGCCTCAACCCTCAACCCTAACCCGTCACCGCTTACCCACTCCCTCACCACCCCCTCTTCCACAGGGGGTTTTACAACCGTTCTCACTCACCTGTATTGCCCGCCGTGCTCCGCCCACCACTGCACAGCCTCGTCATACCCCCCTGCCATCTTGGGATGCGCTGCACCCACCACCTCCTTCCCAGTACCCCCTCACACGGCCTCAGCCTCTACAGGAGGCTGAAACATGCAACAGCACAACAGCGAAACAGCGCAACAGCGCAACAGCGCAACAGCGCAACAGCGCAACAGTGCAACAGCGCAACAGCACAACAGCAAAGCACAACAGCAAAGCACAACAGCAAAGCACAACAGCACAACAGCACAACAGCACAACAGCACAACAGCACAACAGCAAAGCACAACAGCACAACAGCACAACAGCACAACAGCACAACAGCAAAGCACAACAGCACAACAGCACAACAGCACAACAGCAAAGCACAACAGCAAAGCACAACAGCACAACAGCACAACAGCACAACAGCACAACAGCACAACAGCAAAGCACAACAGCACAACAGCACAGCACAACAGCACAACAGCACAACAGCACAACAGCACAACAGCACAACAGCACACAACAGCAAAGCACAACAGCACAACAGCACAGCACAACAGCACAACAGCGCAGCACAATAGCACTCACCTGTACTGTCCGCCATGCTCCGCCCACCACTGAACAGCTTCATCATACCCCCTGCCATCTTGGGATGCGCCGCACCCACCGCCTCTCTGTACCCGCTCACAGCCCCCCGCAGCAGCAGCAGCGGCAGCTGAACCATGAAGTTGCCCGCATAGGCGCGCCCATCCCTCATATCCTCACCTGTATTTCCCACCATGCTCCGCCCACCACTGCACGGCCTCGTCATACCCCCCTGCCATCTTGAGGTGCGCTGCACCCACCACTTCCCTATACCCCCTCACGGCCCCCCGCGGCAGCAGCAGCGGCAGCTGAACCATGAAGTTGCCCGCATAGGCACGCCCGTCCCAGCCCACCCCAAATCCTCCCAACCCTTCCCAACAAATCTCAACCCTTGCGCCCACACCGCCTCACCGGTACTGCCCGCCGTGCTCCGCCCACCATTGAACAGCCTCGTCATACCCCCCTGCCATCTTCTGATGGGACGCACCCACCACCACCCACCCGGTACCGCCTCACAGCCTACCCCCATCCCCTCACCCACTCCCTCACAGCCTACCCCCATCCCCTCACCCACTCCCTCACTGCCTACCCCCATCCCCTCACCCACTCCCTCACTGCCTACTGGGGGCTGAAATGAGCAACAGAACAATAGCCCTCACCTGTACTGCCCGCCGTGTTCCGCCCACCACTGAACAGCTTCATCATACCCCCCTGCCATCTTGGGATGCGCCGCACCCACTGCATCTCTGTACCCCCTCACAGCCCCCCGCGGCAGCAGCAGCGGCAGCTGAACCATAAAGTTGCCCGCATAGGCGCGCCGGCCGAGGAGGAAATCAGTTGAGGGGCGGTGGTAGCCTTGGTCCTTGCTGCCTATCAAGTAGGGGCGGCCGACTGGAGATTGGTTTCCCTGGGATGATCCCGACAGGTTGAAGAGGAGAAACGGAGTAACCTGGGGGAAGAAGGTGACGAGGAAGGGGGTGTGGGGTGGGTTGGGGGGTTGGGGGACAGCAGCGGCAGCAGCGGCAGCTGAACCATGAAGTTGCCCGCATAGGCGCGGCGACCCAGGAGGAAATCCGTGGAGGGGCGGTGGTAGCGTTGGTCCTTGCTGCCTATCAAGTAGGGGCGGCCGACTGGAGATTGGTTTCCCTGGGATGATCCCGACAGGTTGAAGAGGAGAAACGGAGTAACCTGGGGGAAGAAGGTGACGGGGAAGGGGGTGTGGGGTGGGTTGGGGGGTTGGGGGACAGCAGCAGCAGCAGCGGCAGCTGAACCATGAAGTTGCCGGCATAGGCGCGGCGACCCAGGAGGAAATCCGTGGAGGGGCGGTGGTAGCCTTGGTCCTTGCTGCCTATCAAGTAGGGGCGGCCCTGGGCTGGGCCCGAGAGGTTGAAGAGCAGAAACGGAGTGACCTGGCGACGGGAAGAAGGGGAGGTGGGAGCACGAGATCCAGGAGGAAATCCGTGGAGGGGCGGTGGTGTGGTAGCCTTGGCCCTTGCTGCCTATCAGGTAGGGCCGGCCAACTGGACATTGGTTTCCTTGGGATGGGTCCGACAGGTTGAAGAGCAGGAATGGGGTCACCTGGAGGAGGAAAGGAAAAGAGGTGGGGAGGGGAGGGAGGGAGGGGTGGGGGGGAGGGTGAGGGATCACCTTGAGGTTGAAGATGACGTCACCTTGATGTTGTTGTCCGACGTCACCTGAGGTTGACTATGACGTCACCTTGAGGTTGATGGTGACGCCACCTGAGGCTGACTATGACGTCACCTTGAGGTTGATGGTGACGTCACCTTGAGGTTGATGGTGACGTCACCTTGAGGTTGAAGATGATGTCATCATCTGCGATGGCGACGAATGGTGCCGAAGTGTAGTTGTCCACCCAGCCGTAGCTCCACTCCACTGCTGGAGAATCCTCAGAAAATGACGTCACCATGAGGCAGAAGATGACGTCACCATGAGGCAGAAGCTGACGTCACCTTAAGGTTGAAGATGATGTCATCATCCGCTATAGCAACGAAGGGAGCTGAAGTGTAGTTGTCCACCCAGCCGTAGCTCCACTGCTGGAGAATCTTCCCAGGAAGCTTCAGGTAGTTGCGCTCGTATTTCACCTGGAGGAGTGGAATGAATGAAGCAACATTCCACATTCACAGTATTGATAGGGAAAAATACTTACAGATATTATACACACAAATAAGATAAGGAATCACCACCCCACATAATAGTACACCTACCTACCTTCACCGCTTAGAACTGTATTCACCTGCACCCAGGGCGGCATGAGGTGCATTGCCACGTCATCCCCCTCATCCAGCACGACCACCACGCGGCCAATCCCGCGCGGCCACATCAGCTCCACTGACGTCAGCAGCGAGTAGAGCAGGAAGAGCTTTTCAGAGAGGTAGCTTCGAATCACGAGGTCAACCTTTCCGGGCCAGAAGGGGCTGAAAGGGAAAGGAGGGTTGGGAAAAGGAGGGGGGGAGAGGGGGCAGTGGGGGGAACACTTTTCATTACGGGTTCATAAAAAAAAATCCATTATGGGTTCATCGAGAAAAATCTCATTATGGATGCTTTATTATAGGGAAAAGGACACTGGCATCGAGAAAACGCAGAAAGAAGAGAGGTTTTGGAGCATGAGGGGGAAAGGGGAAGCTAGTGGGAGGTTGGGAGGGCATGAGGGGCAGAGGGAGTGAGTGACTGCAGTGCCAAAGGAGCACTAGAGAGGATGAGAAGAAATAGAGGGTAGGAACGCGGATAGAAATGGGTTTAGGGGTTAGGGTTTAGAACGGAGAGGTGAAACGAGGGGTGAGGGAATGAAACGGGGTTTTGGACAATTCTAAAAAATTGCTCAAAAGGAGGAGTGACGGAATGAAACGGGGATTGAGAGTGCGGTGGAGGACGTGTAAAAAAATGCACGTCATCAGCGTACCTTTACGCGTCATCAACGTACCGGTACACGTCATCAACGAGGGCGAAGAAATCCGAGACGCATATCCCCGCTTTAGTCACTCTCTCGCACCGCCGCCCTCCCCCGTACCCATCACCACCGTACACGTGGCGCTCGCTCAGCCCTTCGTCTCCTCTCCCTCCTACCCCCCGCAATCCCCCGTCTGCCGACTCGCCGGCTTCCGTACTACGGCTTCCCGAGGCGCTTTGCGGCGCGCTCGAAGTGCACGAGACTTGGAGCCAGCTTAAGATCCTCTCGCGCGCGCCGCTGCCGGCGCCGCTTTTTGCGGTGAACGACGCGAGGAGGAGGAACGAGATGAGGGAGAGGAGGAGAACGCAGCCAACGGTGCGGCGGACGCGCTGCTGATAGGCCGCTGATCGGAGTCGCGCCTCCATATTCTAAGTCTGCCGACGCGTCGCACTCGATGGTCAACTCAGACGCGCTGCTGATAGGCCGCTGCGCGCAAACGCGCCTCCATCGTGTTGCTAATTTAGGCGCCTCAAAAGTTGCAACTTCAATTTATCAATGTGTCAAACTAAGCATGGCAAAACCAATGTAGGCAATCCAGGCTCTACACTGTACATTCAGACGTTGTCGAAAGCCGAAACTGCCTGGAGACGATCGTGATTCGTGAATCACTGTTAAGACTGCCCGGAGACGATCGTGATTCGTGAGTCACTGTCAAGACTTCTCATAAGGGCCCAGAGGCGAGCTAGCTCCCATCGTGACGTTGAAGCCAGGGCTTCGACACTCTGCTGAGCTAGTGCTTGATTGAGACGAGAGTATGCATTTGCTCGCTACAGCTGCTGCTAATAGCCTCACCGCGCTGCGGAGTGGGTAGGATCGAGGTGGATAGGAGTTGAGGAGGTAGGTAGATCCGTCTCTTGGTCTGTCTAAGTACGTACGTATCCCTGTTACCGATACTTGACGCTCTCAGCTTCTTTTAGGCGAAACCTGACGAAAACAAGAGCGGCGCTCACTCGCGGTGGACAACGCCGCCACGGGCAAAGTGATGTTTTTCACAGGCGACAGCACGAGCATGCGAAGTATGTGTCGCCACAGCTTCTTTTAGCAAGGATACCGCCAAACTGAAGCTTTCAGATTACTGAAGCACATCTCCCTATGATTCACATCACCCTAACAATCATTTGGTGCAACCACCACCACCCTATGCCTTGAAAACCAATCCCCTTCTCCCATAACCTTCCGAACAGGAGGGAACAATGGTGTGTTGCCTTAGCTTCTTCATCTGTAAATTCTAAACATGGAAACAGTTGTACCGTAACGTACATCCCTCCTTCAAACTACACCCACAGCTTCAGATCCCTGAAGCACATCTCCCTATGGCTCACATCATCCCCGCAATCATTGGGCACAACAACTACCTCCTCCCTATGCCTCGCAAACCATTCCCTCTCCCCCATAACCTTCCACACAGGCAGAAACAACCACCGCGACAACACGCCAACATTTGACCCCGGCTCGCTCTCCTCCACCATCCTCGTTATAGCCTCATTCAGCCCCACTTTTAAGCTCTCCGAAGCGGACAGCGAGCGCACGAGGGAGTTTCTATGCGCCACGGCTGTTCTTTCTCGGTAATCTTCCAACGCGAGAACAGCCCATTCTTTCAGCATCAGGAGAATTGGCCGGGATGGGCGAAGGGCGGCGAACCAGGGAGAGAAATATCCCAAGTCGGGGCGAGAAATTGGTAGGGTGCGTTTGAGTTTGCTGTCGATTTTGTTGTTGGAGGGCGGCGGTGGTTGGGTGGATGAGGGGACGGAGGAGGGGAGGGCTGCGTTGAACTCGGGAGGGAGGAACGGGAGAGGGTCTTGGAGCCATACAGAGGAAATGTCACTGCAGTGGGTGGGGAGGGAAAGGGAAGGAAGAGGGGAATGTGTCATGGGGTGGGGGAAAGGGAAGGGATAGGGGAATGTGTCATGGGGTGGCGGGGAGGGACATGAGGGTGACGTGAAGCAAAAAAGGGAGGTACGGGAGAGGGTCTTGCAGGCATACAGAGGAGATGTGAGTGCAGGTGGGGGGAGAAGGGCGTGCGGAGGGGGGATGAGAGAGAGGGGTGCCATTCGGGTGACAAGAGGGTGCCATGCGGGTGACATGTGGGTGCCATGCAGGTGCCATACGGGTGACATGCGGGTGACATGCGGGTGACATGCGGGTGACATGCGGGTGACATGCGGGTGACATGCGGGTGACATGCGGGTGACATGTGGGTGACATGCGGGTGACATGTGGGTGACATGTGGGTGACATGCGGGTGACATGTGGGTGACATGTGGGTGACATGTGGGTGACATGTGGGTGACATGTGGGTGCCATGTGGGTGACATGTGGGTGACATGTGGGTGACATGTGGGTGACATGTGGGTGCCATGCGGGTGACATGTGGGTGCCATGCGGGTGACAAGAGGGTGCCTAAGCGGTCTCGTGGTCTTTTGGAAAATTCCAGAAAAATCTAAGCGGTCTCATGGTTCTGCACTGTACCTGTAGATGATATTGTAGCCGAGCTTGAGCACTCGCTCCACGGCAGCAGCAGACACGTGAGGGATGCCTTGTGGTTGTCCAGTCCACTGAAGCATGTACTGCACCTCTAGTACCCAGCATAATTTCGTACATACCTGTAAATGACGTTGTAGCCGAGCTTGAGCACTCGCTCCATGAGCAGCAAGGGCAGCAGCAGGCATGTGAGGGCTGCCTTGTGGTCTGACTCGCTCTCCTCCGGCTGTCTTAGCAGGCCCTCGCTCGTGCCCTCCACCTGTGAGAAGAGGGGGAAGGAGAGGGAGGGCAGGGAGGAAAGCAGGGAAAAAAGGGACGGCAGCAGCATGCACGTGAGGGCTGCCTTGTGGTCTGACTTGCTCTCCTCTGGTTACCGCAACCAAGGGCAGGGAGGGAGGAGAAGTGAGGAAGGAGGGCAGGAAGAGAGGAGGGAAGGGAAGGCAGGGAAAAAAGGGACGGCAGCAGCACGCACGTGAGGGCTGCCTTAAACGCCGACAAACCCTCCTCTGGCTGCAGAGAGTGCATGGCGTTTAAGCAGTTGGTGTGAGCATCATGCCCACCCAAAATTCTCTTGACCCACACACTGTCCTTTGAAACAAACACACCCTTACAACACGCTTTCCTTACGACGTACCTCTTGGGGCACTGAGGCGATCACATGGCCAGCCATGGCAGCAGAGTGCATGGCGTTGAACCAATTAGTGAAGAGAGGAATTTGACCTGGTAGAACGCAGGGGAGGGGAGGGGGATAGAGGGATAGGGGGTGGAGAAGCAGAGAGCTTGATCGGAGGTGGGGCATGGCAGCAGAGTGCATGGCGTGAAATCAATTGGTGAAGAGAGGCACTTGACCTGGTAGTGTTGGGGAACAGGAGAGGGTAAGAGGGTAGGGGCGGAGCGAAAGGAGACATGGATAGGGAAAAGGGAGGTGGGGCACTGGAGCAGAACAGAGTGCATGGCGTTGAACCAGTTGGTGAAGAGAGGGACTTGACCTGGTAATGGTCAGGGGACACGGGAGGGGGATAGGGGGATGGGGGGATAGGGAAGACGGGAGCACGTTGAGAGGTAAAGTAATGCGGCAGGAGTAGAGTGCATGGGCGGCGTTGAAGCACTTGGTGAAGAGAGGGACTTGACGTGGTAGGTAATGTTGGGGAAAGACGGAGTGAAAGGGGTTAGGGACAGGACAGGCACCTGATTGCTGCCGCTCCCACACCTGCACCAACACGCACGCACAGCCAGTCACACACCCACCTTTCCACCCATACGTTTGGAGGCAGCAGTAACAATCACAAAACGCTCGGCTGAGGCCACCACGGGAACAAGAGGGTTCATCGGCTGCAGGTGCCACTGCACCCACGGCTGCACTGGCAGCAGCACCACCTGTCCGCTCGTACCTACCTTTGTATTACCTACCTTTGCACGCTGCGGTGACGATAACAAAGCGCTCGGCTGAGGCCACCATGGGCACGAGGGGGTCCGTCTGCTGCACGTGAAGCTGCACCCACGGCTGCACACACCTTTCCACTCCTAACTGCCTTACCACTTGCCCATGCCTCACCTGCCCGGGCCATCTGGTCTGGCCGAACCTAAGGGTCTCCTCGTCCTCGGCAAAGAGGATAAAGTGCGCTCCCAGCCCCGCATTGCTGACGTGGCGCACCCAGTTCTCCAGCATGTCAGTGTAGCCTGGGACAGACGCAGGGGTGGAAACGGGGTTTAATGAGATGCAGTGCGGTGGAGGGGAGAGAGATAGGTTGATGAGGAGTGCTGTTTCACACACCCAGCTCTCCAGCACGTCAGTGTAGCCTGGGGGAGGCACAGGAGAAGTGGGAATGGGGGTTAACGAGATGCAGTGCGGTGGAGAGGTTTGAGATGGAGTAATGAGGAGTAAGGTGTGACATAGGGGAGACCGTAAAGGGCCCTATATTGAATGCTTGCTGCCCTTGCAACTGCCCATGGCTCATCTCCCCCCCGCAGGTCCCCCCCCTTTCCCCGCAAGTCCCCCCCCCCCAAAAGTCCCCCCCCCTACCCCCCCAAACCCCTTGAAACGAGCACCACGGCTCGTCCCAAGGGGTTTGGGAGGGTAGGGGGGCGGACTTTTTGGGGTTGATATGGGTATGGGGGACCATAATTCCTGCCAGGGGGCTGATATGGGTATGGTATGGGGGACCATAATTCCTGGCAGGGGGGGTGATATGGGTATGGTAAGGGGGAACAAAATTCAGGGCAGGGGGGGTGGTATGGGGGGTCAAAATTCTGGGCATGGGGGTGATATGGGGGACCAAGATTCAGGGCAGGGGGGTGATATGGGTATGGGGAGGAACCAGAACCAGAACCGGAAATGGGCATGGGTTTGGTGCGGCTGGGCATGGGTTCGGTGCGGTTGGGCATGGGTTCGGTGCGGTTGCGCATGGGTTCGGTGACGGTGGGGGGAAAACAGAGGAGGTGATGGTGGGGGGAAAACAGAGGGAAGGAGTTTGAAGTATGGGTTTGGGTTTGGGTCTGGGTTTCGGGTTTGGGTCTGGGTTTCGGGTTTGGGTCTGATTTTTGGGTTTGTGTCTGGGTTTTGGGTTTGGGTCTGGGTTCTGGGTTTGGGTCTGGGTTCTGGGTTTGGGTCTGGGTTTGGGGTTTGGGTTCGGTTTTTGGCAGGGAGAGTGATGGGCTGGGTGGGGAAGAGTGAAGGGCTGGCTGAGGAAAATTGATGAGCTGGGAGGGGTAGAGTGATGGGCTTGGTAGGGGGGATTGATGGGCTGGGTGGGGGGAACTGATGGCCTGGGTGGGGGGAACTGATGGCCTGGGTGGGGGGAGTTGATGGCCTGGGTGGGGGGAGTTGATGGCCTGGGTGGGGGGAACTGATGGCCTGGGTGGGGGGAGTTGATGGCCTGGGTGGGGGGAACTGATGGCCTGGATGGGGGGAGTTGATGGGCTGGGTGGGGGGAGTTGATGGGCTGGGTGGGGGGAGTTGATGGGCTGGGTGGGGGATGGGAGATGGGCTGCCGGATGGGACATGGGCTGAGGAATGGGACATGGGCTGAGGGATGGGACATGGGCTGAGGAATGGGACATGGGCTGAGGGATGGGACATGGGCTGAGGGATGGGACATGGGCTAAGGGATGGGACATGGGCTGCCGGATGGGATATGGGCTGGCTGGGGGGAATTGATGGGCTGGCTGGGGTAGAGTCGTTTCTTACCTTCATATTTCCGTGTTTCTTTCCGCATGGCGCCACGTGGCTTCGTTGCCTCGTGATGACCCGATTTGGCAGCCCCGAGCCTAGCAGCCCCGGTCCGGCTGGCCCGAGCCCAGCAGCGCCGAGCCTAGCAGCCCCGAGCCGGCTGGATGGGGATGGGAGGCATGGAAGGAGGGGGGAGGCAAGGGAAGGAGGGATGAGGTCAGCGGGGAGAGAGGAGTTAAGGCGAGTCAGCAGCGTGGCACACGCGCTGTCTGCCGCGCCAGCAGCGCGACACAGGCGCACTTCTCCGAGCCAACGGCGCAGCAGGCGCATTTCGCCGCGCCAACGGCGCAGCAGGCGCAATTTCTCGCGCCACTAACATGCAGTTGAAGATCGGGTTATCCACTCACATGTACCTGCGCTGCTTCTCGCGCACTCCTTCCGCCTCATCCACAGCAGCGCGCCGAGTGCAGGGCGACGAGGGATCGTGGCGACGAGGGATCGACGAGAGCATGGCGTCGAGATCATGGCGCCGAGATAGGCGCAACGAGATCGGCGCAACGCCAAGTCACCGGCAGCGCCGCGCCACGTCACCAGCAGCGCACGCCACATCACCGGCAGCGCACGCCACGTCACCGGCAGCGCCACGCCATCCGCCGCCGCCATCCGCCAGGGCTTGCCCGCCTGGATACGAGAGAGGAGTGGGAAACGGTTGAAAGAGAAGATGAAAATTAGAAGATGAAAAAATAAAAGAAAAGAGGTCACCTCTATCCGCCACGTCACTCCCGCCAGCGCTACGCCACGTCACTCGCGCCAGCACTACGCCACGTCACTCGCGCCAACGCCTGCTGCAGGCTATGGCGATCGCCTGCTGCAGGCTATGGCGATCGCCTGCTGCAGGCTATGGCGATCGCCTGGTGCGAACATGCTTACCTATCTTAAAAGGGCGACGAGGTGCCCGTTCTGCTCGCGACTGCTCGCCAGAACCTCGCCCATGATGGCGATCATTGCGCTTCTCATCTCTCTGAAACTCTGAATGTGCTTGGGGAAGTGATTAGATTAGGAGACTGGAAACGGGAGAGGATAAGAGACTAGGTGCTGCTGCTGCTGAACGATCGAGATAATACGAGTTGGTTGGGAGATGGGAGTGGTGTGGGGTGAGAGGGAGGAGCGAGCAAGTGGTGGTCTTGCTGAGCGAGCAAGTGGCAGTGTTGCTGAGCGAGCGTATGGGGCAGAAAAACAGTACAGCACATCTCATAATAACAAAACGAATGCAAAACTTAAAACGAATGCAACAAATGTATATTTACTTGTCTTCAATCTCAGAGCTAAGAGGCAAGAAACAAATTCGAATTGAAACCCCCCATCTCGCCCCCGGTCAGGTGCACTCTTAAAATTACGCTCCCCACGAAAACAAAAACGGAAACGAAATCTGTCCCAACTGCCAATTCGAGGTGATGGGAGAGGTGCGGAGCAGCGCAAATGGTGGAGTAAGAATGTACTCTAGGTTCAATCTCAACCAGGTACACTCGAGTTGAGGAAGGGGGTCTCGCGGGGGAAATCTGCTCTGTTGTAAATCGCTAGGGTCACGATCTATTCTCCTTGTCGATTCCAATCTGAATCGACGGATATGCATGAAGTGCATTTCCGCCCCCACATCCTGTGGATTCTGCGATAGGTGCTGTTTGCAGGTGTGGTTCCGATCAAGAGGCTTGGAATGGTCTGGGATGTGACACGTGGAAAGCTCGATCGCTGCAGTGTATCGAGGGGGGATTTTATCAGGTACGTGCGATCGCGCGATCGCGAGCGATTCGCTCGCACGCTGAATTATTCAAACGAATGTCGCTTCCGCTTCAGTAAATTTCGTGCAACGACGAGTGCAGCGCCCCATCGGCTGTAACTTTACAGAGGCAGCAGTCATGTTGGTCTTTCTTGTTTTAAAATTTCGTTTCTACTATAGTCTGGCTCCCTAAAGTCATACCAATAATAATACAAAAAATTGCAATCATGGAAACCAAATGTTTAACCCATTTCAGTTTGAGACGCAGCGCTTCAACAAACGATAACAAAATAACAATCTACATATACACATACAACATGAATATATCAGGCTGGTACGTAAATGTACAAAGATGTTGTAACATATAGGCGATGATCCCGTGGATAGAAAGGCGGCGATGACCTCGACAGAAGCGGCGATGACGTGGACAGACTGGCGGCGATGATGTGGACAGATGGGCGGCGATGACAGATCGCCACGTCACTACGGGTTGCGCCATGCATCGTCACGTCCCTACGGGGTACACCACGCATCGCCACGTCACTAAGGGGTGCGCCACGCATCGCCACGTCACTAAGGGGTGCGTCACGCATCGCCACGTCACTACGGGGTGCGCCATGCATCGCCACGTCACTACGGAGTGCGCGACGCATCGCCACGTCACTACGGGGCGCGCCATGCATCGCCACGTCACTACGAGGTGCGTCACGCATCGCCACGTCACTACGGGGTGCGCGCCGCATCGCCACGTCACTACGGGGTGCGCCACGCATCGCCACGTCACTACGGGGTGCGCCATGACTCGCCAGGTCAGTACGTGCTGCGCCACGCTTTGCCACGTCACCACGGGGTGCGCCACGCATCGCCACGTCACTACGGGGTGCTCCATGCATCGCCACGTCACTACGGGGTGCGCGACGCATCGCCACGTCACTACGAGGTGAGCCACGCATCGCCACGTCACTACGGGGTGCGCAACGCATCGCCACGTCACTACGGGTTGCGCCACCCATCGTCACGTCAGTACGGGGTGCCCCACCCATCGCCACGTCACTACGGGGTGCTCCACACATAGCCACGTCACTATGGGGTGCGTCATTCATTGCCACGTCACTACGGGGTGTGTCACGCATCGCCACGTCACTACGGGGTGCGTCACACATCGCCACGTCACTACGGGGTGCGCCACGCATCGCCACGTCACTATGGGGTGCGTCATTCATCGCCACGTCACTACGGGGTGCGTCACGCATCGCCACGTCACTACGGGGTGCGTCACGCATCGCCACGTCACTACGGGGTGCGTCACGCATCGCCACGTCACTACGGGCAACGCCACGCATCTCCAAGTCACTATGGGGTGCGTCATTCATCGCCACGTCACTACGGGGTGTGTCACGCATCGCCACGTCACTACGGGGTGCGTCACACATCGCCACGTCACTACGGAGTGCGTCACACATCGCCACGTCACTACGGGGTGCGTCACGCATCGCCACGTCACTACGGGGTGTGTCACGCATCGCCACGTCACTACGGGCAGCGCCACGCATCGCCACGTCACTATGGAGTGCGTCATTCATCGCCACGTCACTACGCGGTGTGTCACGTATCGCCACGACACTACGGGGTGCGTCACGCATCGCCACGTCACAACGGGGTGCGTCACGCATCGCCATGTCACTTCGAGGTGCGTCACGCATCGCCACGTCACTACGGGGTGCGTCACGCATCGCCACGTCACTACGGGGAGCGCCACGCATCGCCACGTCACTACGGGGTGCGTCACGCATCGCCACGTCACTACGGGCAGCGCCACGCATCGCCACGTCACTATGGGGTGCGTCATTCATCGCCACGTCACTACGGGGTGTGTCACGCATCGCCACGTCACTACGGGGTGCGTCACACATCGCCACGTCACTACGGGGTGCGTCACGCATCGCCACATCACTACGGGGTGCGTCACGCATCGCCACGTCACTACGGGGTGCGTCACGCGTTGCCACGTCACCATGGGCAGCGCCATGCATCGCCACGTCACTACGAGGTGCGTCACGCATCGCCACGTCACTACGGGGTGCGCGCCGCATCGCCACGTCACTACGGGGTGCGCCACGCATCGCCACGTCACTACGGGGTGCGCCATGACTCGCCAGGTCAGTACGTGCTGCGCCACGCTTTGCCACGTCACCACGGGGTGCGCCACGCATCGCCACGTCACTACGGGGTGCTCCATGCATCGCCACGTCACTACGGGGTGCGCGACGCATCGCCACGTCACTACGAGGTGAGCCACGCATCGCCACGTCACTACGGGGTGCGCAACGCATCGCCACGTCACTACGGGTTGCGCCACCCATCGTCACGTCAGTACGGGGTGCCCCACCCATCGCCACGTCACTACGGGGTGCTCCACACATAGCCACGTCACTATGGGGTGCGTCATTCATTGCCACGTCACTACGGGGTGTGTCACGCATCGCCACGTCACTACGGGGTGCGTCACACATCGCCACGTCACTACGGGGTGCGCCACGCATCGCCACGTCACTATGGGGTGCGTCATTCATCGCCACGTCACTACGGGGTGCGTCACGCATCGCCACGTCACTACGGGGTGCGTCACGCATCGCCACGTCACTACGGGGTGCGTCACGCATCGCCACGTCACTACGGGCAACGCCACGCATCTCCAAGTCACTATGGGGTGCGTCATTCATCGCCACGTCACTACGGGGTGTGTCACGCATCGCCACGTCACTACGGGGTGCGTCACACATCGCCACGTCACTACGGAGTGCGTCACACATCGCCACGTCACTACGAGGTGCGTCACGCATCGCCACGTCACTACGGGGTGCGCGCCGCATCGCCACGTCACTACGGGGTGCGCCACGCATCGCCACGTCACTACGGGGTGCGCCATGACTCGCCAGGTCAGTACGTGCTGCGCCACGCTTTGCCACGTCACCACGGGGTGCGCCACGCATCGCCACGTCACTACGGGGTGCTCCATGCATCGCCACGTCACTACGGGGTGCGCGACGCATCGCCACGTCACTACGAGGTGAGCCACGCATCGCCACGTCACTACGGGGTGCGCAACGCATCGCCACGTCACTACGGGTTGCGCCACCCATCGTCACGTCAGTACGGGGTGCCCCACCCATCGCCACGTCACTACGGGGTGCTCCACACATAGCCACGTCACTATGGGGTGCGTCATTCATTGCCACGTCACTACGGGGTGTGTCACGCATCGCCACGTCACTACGGGGTGCGTCACACATCGCCACGTCACTACGGGGTGCGCCACGCATCGCCACGTCACTATGGGGTGCGTCATTCATCGCCACGTCACTACGGGGTGCGTCACGCATCGCCACGTCACTACGGGGTGCGTCACGCATCGCCACGTCACTACGGGGTGCGTCACGCATCGCCACGTCACTACGGGCAACGCCACGCATCTCCAAGTCACTATGGGGTGCGTCATTCATCGCCACGTCACTACGGGGTGTGTCACGCATCGCCACGTCACTACGGGGTGCGTCACACATCGCCACGTCACTACGGAGTGCGTCACACATCGCCACGTCACTACGGGGTGCGTCACGCATCGCCACGTCACTACGGGGTGTGTCACGCATCGCCACGTCACTACGGGCAGCGCCACGCATCGCCACGTCACTATGGAGTGCGTCATTCATCGCCACGTCACTACGCGGTGTGTCACGTATCGCCACGACACTACGGGGTGCGTCACGCATCGCCACGTCACAACGGGGTGCGTCACGCATCGCCATGTCACTTCGAGGTGCGTCACGCATCGCCACGTCACTACGGGGTGCGTCACGCATCGCCACGTCACTACGGGGAGCGCCACGCATCGCCACGTCACTACGGGGTGCGTCACGCATCGCCACGTCACTACGGGCAGCGCCACGCATCGCCACGTCACTATGGGGTGCGTCATTCATCGCCACGTCACTACGGGGTGTGTCACGCATCGCCACGTCACTACGGGGTGCGTCACACATCGCCACGTCACTACGGGGTGCGTCACGCATCGCCACATCACTACGGGGTGCGTCACGCATCGCCACGTCACTACGGGGTGCGTCACGCGTTGCCACGTCACCATGGGCAGCGCCATGCATCGCCACGTCACTACGTGGTGCGTCACGCATCGCCACGTCACTATGGGGTGCGTCACGCATCGCCACGTCACCACGGGGTGCGCCACACGTCGCCACGTCACTACGGGGTGCGCCACGCATCGCCATGTCACTACGGGGTGCGTCACGCTTTGCCACATCTCCATGGACAGCGCCACGTGTTGCCACGTCAGCACGGGCAGCTCCACGCGTTGCCTCGTCACCACGGGCAGAGCCACGCATCGCCATGTCAATACGGGCGGCGCCACGCATCGCCACGTCACTATGGGGTGCGTCACACATCGCCACGTCACCACGGGGTTCGTCACGCATCGCCACGTCACTACGGGGTGCGTCACGCGTTGCCATGTCACTACGGGGTGCGTCACGCATCGCCTCGTCACTACGGGGTGCGTCACCCGTTGCCACGTCACTAGGGGGTGCGTCACGCGTTGCCACATCACCACGGACAGCGCCATGCATCGCCATGTCACTACGGGCGGCGCCACGCATCACCACGTCACTAGGGGGTGCGTCACGCATCGCCTCGTCACTAGGGGGTGCGTCACGCATCGCCACGTCACTAGGGGGTGCGTCACGCATTGCCACGTCACTAGGGGGTGCGGCACGCGTTGCCACGTCACCACGGGCAGCCCCACGCATCGCCACGTCACCACGGGCAGCCCCACGCATCGCCACGTCACTACGGACAGTGCGAGCGTACGAAATGCATGTCGCCAGTCTCTATTCTCTTCGTGCATGCACATGCACTGCATAAGATTATATGGAATGGTTTCAGCTGCATTACACTTCCTAGTTTTGCTCATGGTATGATGGTTTTCAGCAAATAATTACTTGTCATGTGCATCACTTCGAACTACACCCACAGCTTCAGATCTCTGAAGCACATCTCCCTATGGCTCACATCATCCCCGCAATCATTGGGCACTGCAACCACCTCCTCCCTATGATTCACATCATCCCAACAATCAATTGGAATTGCAACCACCACCCGCTATCCCTTGCAAACCAATCCCCTTCTCTCATAACCTTCCGAACAGGAGGGAACAATGGTGTGTTACCTTAGCTTCTTCATCTGTAAATTCTAAACATGGAAACAGTTGTACCGTAACGTACATCCCTCCTTCAAACTACACCCACAGCTTCAAATCCCTAAAGCACATCTCCCTATGGCTCACATCATCCCCGCAATCATTGGGCACAACAACTACCTCCTCCCGATGCCTCGCAAACCACTCCCTCTCCCCCATCACCTTCCAAGCCGGAGGGAACAACCACCGCGACAACACGCCAACATTCGACCCCGGCTCGCCCTCCTCAACCATTCTCGTTATAGCCTCATTCAGCCCCACTTTTAAGCTCTCCGAAGCGGACAGCGAGCGCGCGAGGGAGTTTCTATGCGCCACGGCTGTTCTTTCTCGGTAATCTTCCAACGCGAGAACAGCCCATTCTTTCAGCATCAGGAGAATTGGCCGGGATGGGCGAAGGGCGGCGAACCAGGGAGAGAAATATCCCAAGTCGGGGCGAGAAATTGGTAGGGTGCGTTTGAGTTTGCTGTCGATTTTGTTGTTGGAGGGCGGCGGTGGTTGGGTGGATGAGGGGACGGAGGAGGGGAGGGCTGCGTTGAACTCGGGAGGGAGGAACGGGAGAGGGTCTTGGAGCCATACAGAGGAAATGTCACTGCAGTGGGTGGGGAGGGAAAGGGAAGGAAGAGGGGAATGTGTCATGGGGTGGGGGAAAGGGAAGGGATAGGGGAATGTGTCATGGGGTGGCGGGGAGGGACATGAGGGTGACGTGAAGCAAAAAAGGGAGGTACGGGAGAGGGTCTTGCAGGCATACAGAGGAGATGTGAGTGCAGGTGGGGGGAGAAGGGCGTGCGGAGGGGGGATGAGAGAGAGGGGTGCCATTCGGGTGACAAGAGGGTGCCATGCGGGTGACATGTGGGTGCCATGCAGGTGCCATACGGGTGACATGCGGGTGACATGCGGGTGACATGCGGGTGACATGCGGGTGACATGCGGGTGACATGCGGGTGACATGCGGGTGACATGTGGGTGACATGCGGGTGACATGTGGGTGACATGTGGGTGACATGCGGGTGACATGTGGGTGACATGTGGGTGACATGTGGGTGACATGTGGGTGACATGTGGGTGCCATGTGGGTGACATGTGGGTGACATGTGGGTGACATGTGGGTGACATGTGGGTGCCATGCGGGTGACATGTGGGTGCCATGCGGGTGACAAGAGGGTGCCTAAGCGGTCTCGTGGTCTTTTGGAAAATTCCAGAAAAATCTAAGCGGTCTCATGGTTCTGCACTGTACCTGTAGATGATATTGTAGCCGAGCTTGAGCACTCGCTCCACGGCAGCAGCAGACACGTGAGGGATGCCTTGTGGTTGTCCAGTCCACTGAAGCATGTACTGCACCTCTAGTACCCAGCATAATTTCGTACATACCTGTAAATGACGTTGTAGCCGAGCTTGAGCACTCGCTCCATGAGCAGCAAGGGCAGCAGCAGGCATGTGAGGGCTGCCTTGTGGTCTGACTCGCTCTCCTCCGGCTGTCTTAGCAGGCCCTCGCTCGTGCCCTCCACCTGTGAGAAGAGGGGGAAGGAGAGGGAGGGCAGGGAGGAAAGCAGGGAAAAAAGGGACGGCAGCAGCATGCACGTGAGGGCTGCCTTGTGGTCTGACTTGCTCTCCTCTGGTTACCGCAACCAAGGGCAGGGAGGGAGAAGTGAGGAAGGAGGGCAGGAAGAGAGGAGGGAAGGGAAGGCAGGGAAAAAAGGGACGGCAGCAGCACGCACGTGAGGGCTGCCTTAAACGCCGACAAACCCTCCTCTGGCTGCAGAGAGTGCATGGCGTTTAAGCAGTTGGTGTGAGCATCATGCCCACCCAAAATTCTCTTGACCCACACACTGTCCTTTGAAACAAACACACCCTTACAACACGCTTTCCTTACGACGTACCTCTTGGGGCACTGAGGCGATCACATGGCCAGCCATGGCAGCAGAGTGCATGGCGTTGAACCAATTAGTGAAGAGAGGAATTTGACCTGGTAGAACGCAGGGGAGGGGAGGGGGATAGAGGGATAGGGGGTGGAGAAGCAGAGAGCTTGATCGGAGGTGGGGCATGGCAGCAGAGTGCATGGCGTTAAATCAATTGGTGAAGAGAGGCACTTGACCTGGTAGTGTTGGGGAACAGGAGAGGGTAAGAGGATAGGGGCGGAGCGAAAGGAGACATGGATAGGGAAAAGGGAGGTGGGGCACTGGAGCAGAACAGAGTGCATGGCGTTGAACCAGTTGGTGAAGAGAGGGACTTGACCTGGTAATGGTCAGGGGACACGGGAGGGGGATAGGGGGATGGGGGGATAGGGAAGACGGGAGCACGTTGGGAGGTAAAGTAATGCGGCAGGAGTAGAGTGCATGGGCGTTGAAGCACTTGGTGAAGAGAGGGACTTGACGTGGTAGGTAATGTTGGGGAAAGACAGAGTGAAAGGGGTTAGGGACAGGACAGGCACCTGATTGCTGCCGCTCCCACACCTGCACCAACACGCACGCACAGCCAGTCACACACCCACCTTTCCACCCATACGTTTGGAGGCAGCAGTAACAATCACAAAACGCTCGGCTGAGGCCACCACGGGAACAAGAGGGTTCATCGGCTGCAGGTGCCACTGCACCCACGGCTGCACTGGCAGCAGCACCACCTGTCCGCTCGTACCTACCTTTGTATTACCTACCTTTGCACGCTGCGGTGACGATAACAAAGCGCTCGGCTGAGGCCACCATGGGCACGAGGGGGTCCATCTGCTGCACGTGAAGCTGCACCCACGGCTACACTGACAGCAGCACTGTCGAAGAGAAAAGGCCCCGTCTTCGCTTGGTCGAGGTAGACCATGCTTCCCGGAGCACAACGGTGTGCAGACGGCTTCATTTCGTGGTCATCGACGACTTCGGGGACTTTTATCTGCGTGCGACGAGTCGTCTGTCGACGGGATTAATTTGTCGAGGTAGAAGAAGTGTTTCTTCTGCTCGACGAAACTGCCCGCCGACGAGGCGCTTCTCGACGGGAGTAAATCGGAGTTGAAGACGAGCTTCACTGGTCGACGGGATTGGCGAAATTGGCGTTTCGACGGATCGCCGGTCGACTCGTCGAGCAGAGCATTTCTGGTCGACCGAAATTACTTGTCTCCGAAATTCGCAATGTGCGCATATTTCGACCAATCGCGAAACAACAAATTTCGATCAATCAGATGCTTTCGTAAATTGTACTCCCCAGGAGAAATTGAACTGGTAATGAAACTGAACGTGAAACATGTTTTTTTACTAACAGTAAAACGTATACAGCTGTGAATGTTGTAAACCTGTGCAACTGCCAACGCAAATGAAAGATGCATGTGCTTGTCGTTTCATCTGCCGTTGCTGACTTGGCAAAGGAGTATGCTTGTCGAGGAACGTTTCTCCAGGGTTCATTGTCTTTGCTATTTGGTTCTCCTTGCTTGTACCATTATCGTGTTGAATCAAGAGTTTTCCTAGTAAAGCTATGCTGGTATTCTACAAAGACAATCAACCACTCTGTCAAGAATCACTACCAAAACTCTGTCCGTGAGCCTCACGCAATTCAGCTCTCCTGTATAATAGCATTCTTCGCAAGCACCACCTGTCCGCTCGTACCTACCTTTGTATTACCTACCTTTGCACGCTGCGGTGACGATAACAAAGCGCTCGGCTGAGGCCACCATGGGCACGAGGGGGTCCGTCTGCTGCACGTGAAGCTACACCCACGGCTACACACACCTTTCCACTCCTAACTGCCTTTCCACTCATACCTTTGCACGCTGCAGTGCAGTGACGATCACAAAGCGGTCCGGCGAGGCCACCATGGGAACAAGAGCATCCATCTTCTGCTGGTGACGCGGCACCCACGGCTGCAACCACTCCTGCACCCACCCACCCACACCCACACAACCACCTTTCCACCCGTACCTTTACACGCTGAAGTGACGATCACAAAGCGGTCGGCTGAAGCCACCATGGGAACAAGAGCGTCCATCTTCTCGACATGCCGCGGCACCCACGGCTGCACCGACAGCAGCACAACCTCCTCCTCCGATACATGCATCTCAGGACACAGCAGCCCCACACAGAAGGGCCCCTTGTCCCCTGCACCCAAACCGTTGCTTCTGCTACTGCTGCTGCTGCTGAGGGCGCTGGTTTTGCTGGTACTAGGCCACTTGCTGTCCTCGTTAGAAGAAGAAGCAGGACCAGAGTTCGACCTTGCTCCTGCTGCCGCTTCACCCGAGGTTCCCCCGCCTCCTGCTGTCGCTGCTGCTGCTACTTTCCCTCTTTCTCCTCCTGCTGTTGCTTCTGTCCCTCCACTCTCCCCTTCTCCACCTCCTGCTGCTGCTGCTGCATCCGGCTCAGTAATCCAGAACCCTATTTTGTTCAGAGCATACCGCTTGGCATCTTTTCCCATCAGCCCGCCCGCATGCACGGTCACCAGCTCCCCTTTCAAAGCCTCCACCGTCGCCCAATCATCCTCCAGCAGCAGCTGACCGGACAGAAATTTCTGCGCGGGCAGCACAGCAATCCTCGGCAAAAGACCGTACTTGTCCATTTCGACGATCAGTGCGTTTAAATGCTCCTGCTCTGTCCCTTCATCCCTCCCCAACTTCATCACTCGATTCGCCCAGTCCCCCACCAAACACTTAGCCCCGGACGTCGGGCGGAGAAAAAGCAGCGAGCTCGAAACGGAAAGTTTCCGGTCAGCCAGCTTCGCGATGCCGTAACTCTCCACCTGAACCGCTTTTTTCTGCCAGTTCGACTCGTACCCGTCGAAAGTGAGAGCAATGTCAAACGTCTGTTTCGGATCAGCGTTGATTTCAGGGAGAGGGTTGCGCAGAATGGCAACGTCTGTGTCGGAATAGAGGAGGTTGAATCCGAAGGAGAGGAGGTGGAGCAGGTAGAGGATGCGACGGGAGGCGAGGAGGTGGAAGGAGAGAGTGCCTGCGCGCGTGGCGGAGTGTGGCGAGTGTGGGAAGAGTGTTTCGGAGGAGGCCTGCCAGGTGGCGGAGAGTGATTGGTCGGGAAGGGCCAGGTGGATTGTCTGTGGGGACGGGAAAGAGGGGGGATAGTGGGATGTGCAAGAGGGGTGGGTTTAGTACATGCCTTACTAGCCCTTGCAACAAGTGATGTCTCTGCCTCACCAACACGGTATGGCAATGTCTGTGTGGGAATAGAGGAGCTTGAATCCGAAGGAGAGGAGGTGGAGCAGGTAGAGAATGCGGCGGGAGGCGAGGAGGTGGAAGGAGAGAGTGCCCGCGCGCGTGGAGGAGTGTGGGGAGTGTGGGAAGGCGGGCTGCCAGGTGGCGGAGAGTGATTGGTCCGGAAGGTCCAGTTGGATTGTCTGTTGGGACGGGCAAAAAGGGGGATAATAGGAGGTAAGAGGTGGAATAGTGGGATGGGCAAGAGGGGATTATCACTTGCCTCACTCGCCTTGCAGCATATGAAGTCTCTGACTTTGCAACTAACCACGCCTAACCTAACCATGCCTTACCTGCCCATGCAACTAAACACGCCTAACTTAACCACGCCTCACTTGCCAGTGCCTCACCTGTCCGGGCCATCTGGTCTGGCCGAACCTAAGGATCTTTTCATACTCAGCAAAGAGAATGAAGTGCGCTCTTAGCCCCACACTTGGCTCCACTAAAAAATAACAATGCTAACTTGGCAACCTACCAAACTGCACCTGCCCTGCCCGTGCGTGCCCCACCTGGCTGGCTGGGCCATCTGGTCTGGCCAAACCTGAGAGTGACCTTGCCCTCGTGGGTCGACTGAAAGAAACCATTCTACCTGCCTTTCCAAACCCCATGCCTACCCCATGCATTGTCTGACATTGCAACCCCCGATGCCTCACACTCACCTGCCCGGGCCATCTGGTCTGACCAAACCTAAGAGTTTCCTCATCCTCTGCAAAGAGAATAAAGTGTGCTCCCAACCCCAAACTTGGCTAGTCCCAAAAGTAGCCATGCTGCCTCCCTTTGCAGCCAACCATGCCTCACCTGTCTGGGCCATCTGGTCTGGCCGAACCTAAGTGTCTCCTCATCCTCGGCAAAGAGGATGAAGTGTGCTCCCAGCCCCGCGTTGCTGACGTGGCGCACCCAGTTCTCCAGCATGTCAGTGTAGCCTGGGACAGACGCAGGGTGGAAATGGGGTATAATGAGATGCATTGCGGTGGAGAGGTGAAGTTGACCGCAGTGAGCGTACAATATTTGTACAACCTGACGTCGCCCTAGGCTTGCATTCAGTCACCCAGTCTCGTTAGCAAGCACAGGCGGCCATGGAGAACAATGACGAAGCCCAAAAGGCGAAAGACCATGCCGAGGCGAGGCTATCGGCTGGAGACGTCGCAAGAGCTCGAAAACTCTGGAAGACGGCTCATTCCCAGTTTGCGACGCTCGGCGGCCTTTCTCAGATGGAGGTCGTTCTCGCCGTTCACGAAGCTGCTGCGAAGCCGTTATTCGGTGTCGGTCACGGCGAGGTGGACTGGTACCTCGTTCTAGATGTTCCTGATTGAAGAGAGTGTGGCTATCTTTTTGATAGACCACGACAAGCACAGGCCCGTTGACAGTAGTGCGCCGCCATGTCCCACAGCGGCATCAGGTTCTTCAGTGAAGCTCCATGCCTGACCCCAAGCCCTGATCCCAAGCCCTGATCCCAGCCCTCGGGAATGCCGGGTCACTTCACTCCCTTCCCTTACCGGCATTGGAAACCACGACAAGCACGGTGCCGTTAATAGCAACGTGCGCCGCCATGTCCCACAGAGGCATCAAATCCTCATGAAGCTGCATCCCCGATCCGAACACACCAGAACAATCCCACTCACTTCACTCCCTTACCAGCATTGGAAACCTTGACAAGCACAGTCCCGTTAACAGCAACGCGAGCGGCCATGTCCCAAAGTGGCATCAGGCCCTCATGAAGCTGCATGCCTGATCCGATCCCAACGCCTTAGTGACCCAGTCAGAAACCTTGGAGGTTTGGAAATTTCATTCCCTTTAACCCTTTATCCGCATTGGAAACCACGACAAGCACAGTCCCGTTGACAGCAACGCGGGCAGCCATGTCTCACAGCGGCATCAGGTCCTCGTGAAGCTGCATGCCTGACCCCAAGCCCTGATCCCAACCCTCGGGAATGCCTGATCACTTCACCCCCTTACCAGCATTGGACACCACGACAAGAATGGTCCCGTTGGCAGCAACGCGGGCGGCCATGTCCCACAGCGGATTGGGTTACTGAGAGCCTACACAACTCCAATACAAAAAAAAAGATAGCCACACTCTCTTCAATCAGGAACATCTAGAACGAGGTACCAGTCCACCTCATCGTGACCGACACCGAATAACGGCTTCGCAGCAGCTTCGTGAACGACGAGAACGACCTCCATCTGAGAAAGGCCGTCGAGCGTCGCAAACAGGGAACGAGCCGTCTTCCAGAGTTTCTGGGCTCCTGCGACGTCTCCAGTTGACAGCCTCGCCTCGGTGCAATTTTCGCCTTTTAGGCTACGTGTTTGTTCTCCATGGCTGCCTGTGCTTGCTAACAAGACTGGGTGACTGAATGCAAACCTAGGGCGACGTCAGGTTGTACAACTTTTGTACGCTCTCTGCGATCAACGAATGCCGGGTCACTTCACTCCCTTCCCTTACTGGCATTCGAAACCAGGACAAGCACGATGCCATTAACAGCAACACGGGCCGCCATGTCCCACAGAGGCATCAGGTCCTCGTGAAGCTGCACGCTTGACCCGAACGAAGGCCTCAGTGACCTAGTCAGGAACCTTGGGAGGTTTGGAGATTACATTCCCTTTAACCCTTTACCTGCGTTGGAGACCACCACAAGAATGGTCCCGTTGACGGCAACGCGCGCCGCCATGTCCCACAGCGGCATCAGGTCCTCGTGAAGCTACATGTGTGATCCCTAGCCCTGATACCAACCAACCCTCAGGAATGCCTGATCACTTCACTCCCTTACCAGCATTGGAGACAACGACAAGCACAGTGCCGTTAATAGCAACGCGGGCAGCCATGTCCCACAGCGGCATCAAATCCTCGTGAAGCTGCATGCCCGAACCGAACTCCTCAGGCGATTCCCGCGGCAGCAGCACGCGGCGACGAGGTGGGTCAGCTGCTGCCGTCCCAGCTGCTGCCGTCCCATTTGCTGCCGTCCCATCTGTTGCCGTCCCAGCTTCTGCCGTCTCAGCTGCTGCTGCCGTTCCTGCGGCGGTTCCAGACGTCTCCGAATTTTTAGGCGTCGCAGCAATCATATCTTCTGATCCAGACGTTTCCGCGAATCGCGCTGTCACCGACAGCAGCAAGTCGCGGCGTTGAGAATGTTCCGCTGTCCTATGGATGGAAGCCACGTGGCTCCGCGCTGACGTCAGGTCCACGTCACGCGAGGCCAGCGACGGCCCGCGGATCGCGTGAGCCGCGGCGAAGACGGCGGCGCGGCAGGTTGGAGCGGCGAGTCGCGTTGGGAAGAGGAGCAGTGAAGTGGGGGACGGCAGCGGTGGAGGCAGTAGGAGGAGGAGAAGGATCAGGAGGAGGCCATTTCGGAAGGAGCGGGGGAGAACGCATGATTCGGCATGACGGGACAAAGAGGCGGCCATGGCTTGCGGATAAAAAAAAATAGTTTATCAATATGAAGGAAACGCGCTCAGATTTTGAGATGTCGCGAAGCGAGCCCTTGAATCCTTGATGTGGTAACCAGAACGGCGCGATTGGAGGCGAACGTCGCGAAGCTAACGGAACGTCGCCGATGGTCAGTCGTCGGTACTATCAAGTGAACAGTTTCGTCCGTCCAATGCGGACCGTCGTTCGTCAGTCGCCGATCGTCATCAGTCAGGTCCCAGACCGAAACCGTTTAAAGCCTAATCAAAACGACCAGTTCACGAAAAACGTCAGTCGGCACCCATTGTCAGTCAATCACGTCCATACCGGATCCTTCGAACACAAGGAAATGCGAGCTCCGTTGCTCCTGCTTCTGACTGGGAACTGTGCGTCGGTTTGCTGGCAACAATGAAGTCAGACGCTGGGACGACTGATCAGTGAGTGATCAACAAAATGGGAGAGAGGGAAAGAACCACCTTTGTGCCTCGGTCGGTTAGCACGGGTCGTAATGGTTATGGTTCGTTTCGGTTCGGTCTAGTCAGGGCGGGTCTACTTTAGAGCAGGTGGGTGGGGCACACTTGCTGGCTTTCGGGTAAATAACTACCCGTTTGGAGCGCACAAAACCGTTTACGAAGCATCACGATCGTACCATACCGCGTGAAATAAAGGTAAGCCACGGTCAAGTTGCTGGCCTGCAACGAGCACGCCACACCACCGTACAGAAACATTCGCTACTGCATCAACAATCATGTAGGAAAGGTAGCGTGACACGTTTAGTTCTTGCAGTGAAAGCAACAACATAATCCTTTCAAATAGAAGCAACTATGCAAATGAAACGTCATTATCGATGGATCATAACAAACATGCATGCAAGGATGAAACAGCCTGGACGAGTCACCAAAGCAGTTGCGTTGCTGCGGCGAGTGCGAGTTGCGCACTGCATGATATGGGGTTCTGCAATACAAATGCACTTCATACTTCGCTTCATAAATACGATGTTTTGTACCCCACAGCAACCAATATGGTGCTAAAGCACCAAGAAAAAAATAATCAACATGCTCATGCGATCGTGTTTGTGGCCTCAACATCCTCAACAAGTTCCACGATTTGTCGGGCAGCTTCTTTCTCCCTCCCCACCACCACTGTAATGTGGTTCTCTCCCCAAACCTCCAACAACTTCACGTTTGGATGCCGCCGCGCCAACCCCCTACTTGAGTCGATCGGGCACAGCTTGTCTTTGTCACCATGCACTATAGTCACAGGAACGCTTTTGTTGAAATTTTCAAAATTGTCTGTTACAATGGTCCTGTTGCAGGCGCCAGCGGTTGTAGGGAGGATGTTCTTGGAGCACTGGTTGTGCAGCACGTGCAGGGAAGGTTCCAGGAAGTTGGTGCCGGCGCATATGGTTTTGAAGAAGCAGTGCCATGCGGTGTGGTGTGTGTGGCGGGTTAAATCCCGCATGAAGGAGGGTGGGAGCCTGCCGTAGGGGGAGGAAGCATCAGGAAGAGCATGAGAGAAGGGAGACGTGGGGAATATCGAGAGGAAAGTGACAAATGTGGTGCGTGTGAGTGTGCGAGTTCGTGTGCGCGTGCATGTGCATGTGGCTCATCCAGATTTCCCAACCCTCTCAAAATTTCCCACTCGGCTCAAATTTCTTTTTCCCACTCACTCAGACTTCCCCACTCAGACTCTCACTCACTTGGCGCCTGTGCGGGGAACTTTGGTCGACTCATCCTTTGAGCCGGCCAAAAAGAAAACCAAACACACTCACTTTGCTCCAATGCGGGGCAGAAGAAGAGCGGCGAGGGGGTCAGAGAGCCAATGGAAGTTTGCCAGCAAGGCGCAAATGACTCGGCCCACGTGCTCGAACCACGACATGACGCTGATGCCCAGGAGCAGTGCGGAGGAGAGGCAGCGCGGAGTGACCAGGCGGTAAAACTCCTCTGCTGGTGTGAGGCCTGGCCGGGGAGGGATGAACGGCTGGGGAAAGGGAAGATAGAGGAATGGAAGCAAAAACGGGAGGAGAGGGAATGAGAGATTTGAGGCAAAGCGGTTTTTTAAAGAGGTCGCTGTGGAAGCAGCTTGCACATCACTTCCTCCTTTCCCTCCCCACGTGTTCGAACCACGACATGACGCTGATACCCAGGAGCAGTGCGGGGGTGAGGCAGCGCGGGGTGACCAGGCGGTAAAACTCCTCTGCTGGTGTGAGGCGTGGCCGTGGGGGGATGAACGGCTGGGGTGGCATGGGTTGGGGGGAGATGAATGGAGAAAGGAAGGTACTGTGAGTAGCATGTGTGCCCTCTAGAAGCAGCGCGGGGTGAAGTGGCGGTAGAACTCCTCTGCGGTAGAATTCCTCTGCGGTAGAACTCCTCTGCTGGTGAAGTGGCAGCCAGAAGCGCAGCTATCAGGCACGCGAAGAAGGCCTTTGTTGGCCGAAACACGTTCGCACGCGATATCCGGGCCTAATGTGTCTTGCGATTTGACTAAAAGACCTTGTTTACGACTTCCCTCGCCTTTTCAGATTAGTAGAATTAGTTCGCTCTCAGTAGGCTTGCTGCGGATCGAAACCAACTCATTTCAACTGCAGCCTTTACCCATCCCTATAACCAACCGTGCCCATGCAGCCCCGCTTGTGGTGGTGCTTCCACCACCGGTTACTGTAATGTAAGAGGGCTACTCACAGGCGAGTAGAGGCAGAGAGACACCAATCTGTCTCGGTTGCGAGCAGGCAGAACTGCGGTCATCAGGCAGCCAGCCGGTACCCATGCCAATGAGAAGCCATGCCCATACTGTCGCAGTGCTTTAGTGAGCAGGGCTGCAGGGGTTACTGTAGAGGGCTACTCACAGGCGAGTAGAGGCAGACGGACACGACCCGGTCTCGGTTGCGAGCAGCCAGAACGGCAGCTATCAAGCAGCCCATGCTGTGCCGTGCCAACAATCTTGCATTCTGTCAACCAGCCTGTTGTTCGAATACTGAGAGAGGGCCACTCACTGGCGAGTAGAGGCAGACAGACACCACTCTCTCTCGGTTGCGAGCAGCCAGAACGGCAGCTATCAAGCAGCCCATGCTGTGGCCCACGACATGGAAGGAGGATATGTTGAGTGGGGCGAGCACCGTGCACTCTATCCAGCTGGTAAGGGAGAAAGGGGAATGGGTGAAAGAGAAAAGGGGGAGGGGATGCGTATGGTAGAGACTGCAAGGCACCCCATTCTTGCCCCATCCTAGCAGGTCAACCACCATCAACCTTCAATATGGGGAGTACCTCCACATCAACTACAACCACACCAATTTTCACCTCACGTGCTCTCCAATGCTTTAGTCAAAGTCCCTCGGCTTGGGGCTCTTGCCTCACCCCAGCAGGTCAATCACTCCGCATTCGCTACAGTCACAGCATTTCTCACCTCACATGCTCCTCAATGCTATAGTCACAGCCCCTCGGCTTGGGGCTCTTGCCCCACCCCAGCAGGTCCACCTCGACCACTCTTTGACATATTGAGTAACTCACGTGCCCAGCATTCGCTATAGTCACACCAATCTATGACTCACCTCACATGCTCCTCAATGCTATAGTCACAGTCTCTCGACTTGGGGCTCTTGCCCCACCCCATCAGCAGGTCAACCGCCACAATGTTTCGGCATAGAGTAACTGCGGATCTTCTACAGTCACACCAATGCTATAGTCACACTCTCACCTCACATGCTCTTCAACGCTATAGTCACAGTCCCTCGGCTTGGGGCTCTTGCCCCACCCCAGCAGGTCCACCGCCACCACCCTCCTGCCCTCCAGGAAGCTTCTGGGAAGAAACGGCACAGCGGTGTCGGTCCAAAAGGAGGAGGCAGCGCCGAATCCATGCAGTAGGAGTACCGTGGGCTTCTCCTTGCATCCAGCGTTAAAATGCGAATCTTCAACACTGAACGTTGGTGGTGGCTTGCATTCAGCGTCCAGGGGAGGAGTGACGGTGGTGATGTTGCTGCTGGTGTGAACTGTAGGCGTCTCGTCTCCAACCACACTCCCTCCCACGGCACCCCCTCCCACCATGGTGAAATGTAGCGCCTGCCTCTCATACGCATCACCACACTCCAGGCAGTAACAGTCCGTCCATCTGCCTCCCACCCTGCCGGACCCAACGCCACCAGACCCAACCGCACTAGATCCAACCTTACCAAATCCAACAGCAATACCCACTGGCGCAGCTGCTGCTGCTGCTGCTGCTGCTGATACTGATCTCGTTGTTACTCCTACTGGCTCCCGTCCTTCCTTCATCACATGCATAACTGAGCCTGCTGCTGCATCACCTGCATCAGCCCTGTCAGCATCTGCGATGGGGCTTGTAACATCACGAAGGCCAGCTACAGCTCCAGAGTGGTTACCACCGACATCATGCGTGCGCAGCCTATCAGCAGGTGACACATGGCAGGGGGAGAGGAAAGGATCGTGGTCAGACGGCACCCGTGGCCGTTCAGCTTCGCAGTTATAGCAGTGCTGCTGGTGCTGCTGCTGCTGTTCCAATTGGTGCTGCGTATGCTGCTGCTGCTGCTGCTGCTGCTGCTGCTGGTGCTGGTGCTGGTGGTGCTGGTGCTGGTGGTGCTGGTGGTGCGGGAAGGAGAAGTGCGGATGGCGAATGGAGCCATGCGTCAATCCATCCGGGGGGGACCAGAGAGGATGGCAATCCCTGCTGCAGCAACCGTCAGCAGCACCAATGCCAGCACCGTTGTCAGCATCACCAGCAGCACCATCCTTACCTGCAGCAGCAGCAGCAGCAGCAGCAGCAGCAGCAGCAGCAGCAGCAGCATTGTCACTAGCAACCTCTACAACATTCTCTTCAACCTCCCCCTTCCTTTCCTCCCCCCCCACCTCCTCTTCCATCCGTTCTCCCTGCATCCTGCTCTGTGTTTCCCCAACCAACTGCACGAACTGCTGCATGTCACAACCTTCCTGCCCAAACTGCTCCACACCGCACCACTGCAGAACCCGCTTCGTCCTCCAGTCCAGGGAGAACGGCATGGCAACTCTCTCCATTCGAAGCGCTCCCAAGTTAAATGAAACTCGCCATTTCCGGTGGAACAGGTCCGGGGCGATGCTGGGTGGAATCAGGCTCGGCATAGCTCCGGATGAGAAGACGCTTCCAGCAGCGTTTGCACCGGAATGATCAGAACCAGCTGCGTGGAATCTCGCTCTCCCACTGCTGCTACTACCGCTGCTGGTGCTGCTCCTCCTGCGGTTGCAGTAGCAGGGCGGAGCGTTTTCGCCAGCCAAACGGTCAAGGAACCAGAATACGTAGCAGAGGAGGAAATCGAGGAGGTCGAGGCAGAGGAAGAAGAGGAAGCATGCGGCCTCCCCTGCTGCTTCTGAGGCTCTGCGCGCTGCTTCTCTGGCCTGATTGGCCGTTTTTCTGGCTGCAGATGCTGCTGTTGCTGGTGCTTGGCGTATGAGATGGCGGCATTGAGAAGTGCTTGTGCGCACGAGCCTGATTATCCGAGCCAGCCGGGTTGGCTTGGTAGGGTGAGAGAGAGAGTGCGTGAGCCGGCGAGAGGGAGTGTGGGGGCGAGGGTGAGTGTGAGAGGGAGAGTGAGGGTGAGAGTGAGAGTGAGAGTGAGAGTGAGAGTGAGAGTGGGAGTGGTTACTTCGCTTTGGATGAGTCATTGCATGTTTTGATTGGTGCTGGTCGGCCTTCAGATTGTGAATGTTCTCGTGCTGACACGTGTCATGGTGCGCAGAAGTTTCGTGTGACGTGCTACTGCGGGACGTGGAATGCTGTATGCTGAGATGATCCGTCACGGTGTCGTGTGACGTGGCGGAGCGAGGGCTGGGAGGGTGTGACGTGGCATGTTGTGAAGTGGCATGATGAGACGTGTCAGAAATTGATGGATGGCGTGGAGCCATTGCCCTGAACAAAAGAGGACGAGCCAATCAGGACTGAATGGTATGCGAAGAGCGGGAGAGACTATGTAAGTGAAAGATTTTCCAGTTTAAAATCGACGAAGGGAATGAGGGTGAGAGAGGAAGGATCATTCAGAGATAAATAGCTCGGAGGAGGAATGTGAATTAATAGGAACTCTACAGCGGAATATGGGGCTAGGAACGTCTCTCAACGGGAATCTGTAGAGGAATAAAGAATCAACAGGGCTCAAAACGCCGGCTTTGTACGTTCAGGAATGACCGCACCATGTGATTGGGGAAACAGGAATGAAAATCTAACGGCTGTTTGCGCGACGAGTAATGAGTCAATGTGACCCTCGCTTCCACATCATCGAAAGTTAAGGAACCAGCTGTGAAGAGAAAGCTCGAGTCTCTTAGTCTTTCAACTCTGAGGAGAAAGCTCGAGTCTCCTAGTCTTTCGTCTACAACCTACGGGGTTAGTCTATGGTGATACCGTCTCTAGCGAACTGATCCAGTCTGGAGCACAGGTCCTTTGGGGGTACTCATTCATGCACTGGTCGCTTTGGACGGTGCAAAAAGGTAATTCACGGTCAGGAACTTTTCTGCAGTTTAGCGTTTTTAACCTTCCTGCGCTGGACTGAACCGTTGGAAGTGAATTGCGCTAGGGACAGCCCCCCCTCATGAATGGTTGTGTGGCGAGCCTGACACCAGAAAAAATGGCGGGAAAATATCACCCGCTGTTTTGGAGGTCGAGTGAATTAGTGGTGAAGAAGGATGCGCTGAAATTTGTGGACATCGAGAATCCCTGTGGTGGATCTGTGCTGATGAGTCGCCAGTTCATAAATCGCGCACTCCCCACAAAATCGCGTTGTAAGGAATTTTCTTGGCATTCCTTACGGAGCCCGACTACATCGCTTACAGCAAGAGCAGTTGTTCGCCCGTTACTGCTAACGGGACTTCGCCAACTTCGCGCGCACTGTTTTGCCAAACCTCGCACTGCTGGCCCGGCCGTGTCGGCCTACGCTTCGGGACTAGCCCGAGCCTCGCTGCCAGCGTAGCACTAGCTAGCTCGCACGCACCTTAGCACCTAGGAGCCGCTGTCCTCGCGTTCTCTCGTAAACGCGTTCAGCCACGACTGCGCCTAGACTAAGACGAGCCGACACCCTTCGAAATGGGCGAGCACATTGATATCACGCAGGAGCACTTGAACGATCTGCTGCGGCAAATCCGCGAGAGCGCCGAGGAAATCGCGACGCTGACGGCAGAACGCTCCTCCCTGCAAAATGACCTCACACGAGCACAACAGGCACAATCTCAAGCACCTGGCACTCCGGAACAGCCCGCACCACAGGCATCACAATACGGAAGCGTGGGGCAACCCGCGAGCGCGGTCAGTGATGGCGTTGTCCACCCCGACGGAGACGACGACCAATGCACGACACACCCCGAAGCGACGAATGCGGCCCGAAGCCAGCCACGCGTCACAATTTCGGCACCAACCGACGGTTCGGCACTGCCGTCACCGATGCCGCTGAAGCCGCAGCGTCCGCCATGCTTCGATCCCAGCCAACGGGGTGGTCCTACCGTTCAGGCGTGGTTGTTCACGATGAACGTGTTTTTCGACGCCAACTACGTCTCGGAGGATACGGCGAAAATCCGCTACGCCGTGTCGTTGCTGCGAGGACCCGCCATGGATTGGTGGCGCGTCATCGTCACGAAGTCGTTAGACTACGCGACTCTACCGACACGGGAAGGACAAACCGGACCCTGGGCGCCGTCGTATTTCGTTGAGGTGCCCCAGTATCGCACGTCGGACGCGTGGTGCGCAGATCTGCGCGCTCGTTTCGAGCCAATCGCGGCTTCGATCGCGGCGCGATAGAAGCTCCGCACATGGCGCCAACTCGGTTCCGTCCAAGATTACACGAGCGGATTTCTGGCGCTATGTGAGCAGGTGGGATATATGCACGAGAGCGAGCGCATCGACCGCTACATCGGTGGCCTGAAGCAGGACATGGCTCAGGAAATCCAGCTTCGCGGCATCACCGACTTTCAAGAAATTCTCGCTATGGCGGAGAAACTTGATTTCTTCCGCCGACCGAGACCGGGGTCCTACGGAAGCAGCCATTGGGGACATCGGCCTCGTGGGACGAACGAGGGCGCCACGATACGTGCCGTCGCCGCAAATGCTGCTGCCGCACCATTCAAAGGGCGCTGCTTTGCGTGCAATCGGCCGGGACATCGTAAGAGCGAATGCCCGGAAAACGCTAAGGGAAAGGGGGAAGCTGAGCAGCAGAAACACACCAAGCAGCAGGGAAACGCTGGGAGTCAGTAGCAGAATAAGGAGGGGACTACGGTAGACAGCCCCATACTGCTTAGTGGGAAAATTGGGACGGACTAAGTAAAAATCTTCGTAGACGGGGGAGCCAGCCACAGCCTCATCAACACTGCCACAGCACGAAATCTGCGACTGCCACTGGACAGATGCTTACCTGAGATCGACGCAAGACTGGTAGACGGTACGCCGCTGGCGATACGGGAACGCGTAGACCGGGTTCGGATTCGATGTGGGGGTAACTTCACGTTTCGCCAGGAAATGCTCACAACGACCCTCGACGGAACCGATATTTTACTCGGGCGTGATTGGCTGCGACGACACAACCCGCGAATTGACTGGACGACGGGTGACTGCACCGTGCGAGTGAATGGTAACAACATCGCCTTACCTCGCTGGGGCTCGCCTGAGTCTTCGTCGGTGCGTGTCAACGCGATCACGATGAAACGTGCCGTAGCGGCAGGAGCGGACGTGTACGCGGTCGACATTCGAGAAGCCGAGGCAGCAGACAAAGGAGGGGATTTACAGAAACTGCTGGCCGACGTACCGAGTGACCTGGCAGCACTGTTGAAGCAGTACAGCGACATTTTCCCGGAAGATTTACCCACGGGACTGCCACCTCAGCGACCGCACGACCACAGGTAGAGTTAGAACCGGGGGCACAACCAACAGTACAGCGACAGTTCTGACTGACCCAGCCTGAACTGGACGAACTGAGGAAGCAGCTCGATTACCTGCTCGAGAAGGAGTTCATTCGCCCAAGTTCGTCACCCTTCGCAGCACCGATACTGTTCACACAAAAAAAGGACGGGGGATTTCGCACGTGCATAGACTACAGAGCACTTAACAGGGTTACCATCAAATCCCGTTACCCCATCCCGCGAGCCGACGAACTGATCGACCAACTGCGCACAGCCCGGGATTTCTCGAAAATCGACCTCCGAGGGGGTTACCACCAGATTCGCGTCAACCCACCCGACTGCCCTAAGACAGCTTTCCGAACACGATACGGATCCTTCGAATACACCGACATGCCCTTCGGATTGACCAACGCCCCCGCCACCTTTCAAATGACCATGAACGAAGCTTTCCGCCCGCTTTTAGATAAGTGTGTCATTGTATACCTGGACGACATACTGATTTACAGCCCTGACAGAGCACAGCACTTACAGCACATCGAAGCAGTTTTTAAGATACTGAGTGAGAACCGCCTACTGACCAAAGCGTCTAAGTGTGAGTTTTTACAGGACCGCCTGGAGTTTTTGGGACACATTATTTCAGCTGCAAGAGTGGAAATAGACCCGAATAAAATTACGACGATTCAAGCATGGCACGCGCCGACCAACTTGACCGAGTTGCAGAGTTTTTTGGGGTTCGTCAACTACGTGCGCCGGTTCGTCCCCGACATGGCGAAGCTGACTTCCCCATTGACTGACCTGCTAAGAAAGGGGGTTGAGTACACGTGGGGGGAGAAAGAGCAAGCTGCCTTCTCGGCCCTCAAAAACATTTTGTGCTCACCGCCCGTGCTTCACATCGCAGATCCACACCATCCGTTCGAGCTCGTCACTGACGCAAGTGACATCGCTGTGGGAGCGGTACTGTTGCAGGATTTCGGGAACGGCCTCCAGCCAATCGCGTACGAGTCCCGCAAGCTGCACCTGCCCGAACGCAACTACCCGATACACGACCGCGAAATGTCGGCGATCGTGCACGCGTTCAAGGTTTGGCGGTGTTACCTGACTAGCGCCGACGTGACAGTACGGACAGACCACCGATCACTACAGTACCTACGCGCCCAACCAAATCT